ATATATTCCACCCTTAACATTGTTGTACCTTCTTTTAGTTTATTTTTAAATTCAATTTTAACATGCTGCTAATTTATCATTAACTTATCTTGTTTTTGTATTAACACTCATATATAAATATTTTATGTTGCTGAAGTTATAAATTTCTAACTATGTTTAAGTTCATATTCATTAGGTTTTTTCTTTCTATGTCCTTTTCTTTTATCTTGAGTTTCTTATTAATTATTACCATTCCACATATATTGAGTTGGAGTAAAACTTATTCTTGTATTATTCTTGCTTCTTCATACCTCTACATATAATTAAGTAAGACTTTTTTAACTAATGAGCAAAGTAAAAATTAACAGATAACAACAAAATTAATAAAATAATATTGATATTGTAAACTGCTTTTTAATAAAGATCAATTTAATTTCTATTTTAGTTCATTCTCTAAAATTAAAACACCTTTAGATTTATAAAGTGGTTGTAAATCATATCCTTTATGATCAACAAACTCTCCTTTCAAGATTAAAACTCCTTAAGTTTCCAAAATTGAATTTTGTAATAATCTTAGTATATTACGATCTATTGTGGCTAAAGAATAATATAAATAATACCATTTATGAAATGGATTTAGCTTGAAAGTGGCAAATTAAATTAAGAAAGAAGGTCTTAGTAACAATGATCTTGAGGTTGAGTCTCTTTTGCTGTCTTAACAACCCATAAACAGATAGACTTATCATAACTACCAGATGCTAATGTAGTCCTATCAAATAATACATTGATTGAAGTAACTGAATATTAATGACCATCTAATTTGGCTTTTTGTTATCCTGCCTTAACATCCCATAATTGGATAGAATGGTCTGAATTACCAGATGCTAATGTAGTTCTATCAGGAGAGAAGCACACCGAATAAACATTATTAGTATGACCATCAAATTTCTATGCTTATTTTCCTATTTTCAAACTTGACAAATTATAACTGGAATAGGCTTAAGTCTTTCTATTTGGTGAGAACACACATTATGTTTCATCTCTTAAAATTAAACTTTATATTTATGGTTCTATCATCCCAAAAAAGTATAGAATTATCACTACCGCAAGAAACTAATATTCTAATCATCTAAAGAAAGCAAATATTATTTAATCTACCTCTATTACAATTAAGCTTATTCACCTCATTTATTATTAAATACCTCCACTTACAATAAATTAATTTTGCTTCATTCAATTCATTCCCTAATATTGACATTATCTAATTCTGATTCACTTAAGTTACATCTCACTAAGTTTGCTCCAATCAGTGAAGTAAATCATTTTTCATTTCAACTAATAAATGAAATGAATTTGATCCACACTATATGTATTTGTCATCTAAAGATATAAGATGAACAAAATATTATAATAATTCTATGTTCTTCTTATCCTAAGATATTTTTATGATCATTGTTATATCATTTCTTCATATTCATCTAAGGAGTAATTCTGCTTATTAAATCGTGATTTTTCATTTTTTTTGAGAATATAAGTCTTTTTCATGCATTCTTACTTTCTTCTTTCTTCAACTATTGCATCTTTCTTTTGATTTCATCTCTACTGAAGAAATACTAGAGAATCTTCAACCTTTCAATCAAAACGCTGAAAAATTCTTCATCCAAATGTTTTAATGAAGAGAAAATCTCATACAAATTCATTTTTGATTACAATTATTCTTGATATTACTTTCCCTTAAGAAAATCAAGATAATATTTAAGTTTTAATACATGATTTGGAGGTTATACTAAAAAAACTGATTTTGGTTTGAATTTGATTGAAATTATAAGAGCAATAACTGTGATTCTTTCATGATTAGATAAATATGCACTTATTATTGAAAACTAAAGGCTTCTTTTCTAAAGTGTTCTAAACAACACAAATTTAATAAACCATTTTATTTATCAAATCTAATTTCTATCAGTCATTATTGTATTGACTAAACATGTTCAACTAATTTAAGAGAATATTTATTATTTTGAACATCTATTTATTCTTTATAAGATTGATTTTTATTAAAGAGTACGAAAAAAAATGTTACATTTATATTTTATGAAACTCTTTGCTCAGCCGAATAAATTCAGCACTTCCTAAGTGGTGGGTTATTTCTGATAATTGAGAATCTCAAACATGAGGCTAATAAGTTTAAAGCTAATTAAAGGTCAAAATTCTATATCCTTACAACTTTATTTTAATTTCATAATTAGTAATTATATATAATATTTTATCCAACATCAAGTAAAAATAAAGTAATCGAAACCGAATTTATTTTTTAATCTTCATTGTTAAATAGTTGATTTTTTCATTCTTGAAACATCCCATATTCATCTTGGGTACAAACTACCAGTCCTCAGCCCATGTGAAACATTATCATCGTAATATTACCGCATCTGCTGGATGGGAAGTCTAAGCTAGAAGATAGGGCAAGAACAGTTTTATTAAAAATAGATTTTATTATATCCAAAACCATTTGCAATTTTATTATAAATAGAATGTATATAGTATCCAAACCATTTGCCCGCAGCGACTAGTCACGAGGGCAAAGCTAGAAGATTTGGCAAGCGGTCTCAGTGATTTGGCGTTGAGATTTAAAAATTCCCATATCACAGTTAAGAGGTTATCTTCTAGGGGAGCAGAAAAAGCCAAACCCAGTTGACGTGAATGTTGTAGTTTTGATTTCTTGTTTCTTGTGTGGGTGTGGGTGTGGTTAATAATTCGTTTCTATTATTCATCCATTTAAAATAAGAATCACTCTGCATAAGCCTATACTTTTTTTTATGAATTTAATAAACTAATTTTGCAAAAAAAATTTGTTTTCTTTCTGACAAGAATATAAAAGATATTTTTTTGGGTTTCCTGAATAAAGCTCAAAATAAAGTAACAGAAATTCAATATTATTTTTTCAAAAGAAAATGTCTTGCGAAAAAGAGTAAGAGGTAGAGCTGTATAAGGTTTTAGCTTTATCTAAAGATGTAGATGAAGTAGTCCTCCCTATCCTCATTTACATTTTAAAAACAAAGAGAATTTAAGAGTGCCTAGAATTTCTGTCATAAGATCAAAATAAATTCCTTTAAGAAATAGAAAGATAAAAGGGAGAAAATTTATCCCTGCTTGATAAAGAATAGACTGAGAAGAACATTAAGAGAATAATGGACATTCTCAAAAAAATTAGGGATCATAAATTTAATAAACAGAATTACTCGCTAGATGATAATGAAGAAATTAAAAATGATCTGATCTTATAAATATCATGGGATAAGAAAATTATCGAATTTCTCAAATATTTAGTTCATCTTACTGCCTTAGATGACACATATATTTAGTGTGGATCAAATTCTCTTCATTTACTAATTTAAATGAAAGTTGATTTGAGGGAATAAAGTTTTGAGAATATCAGGATAAGAGATACCTCTTTAGTTGGTGGCAATTTTGTAAGATGCAATTTGAATGGATCAGAATTAGACAATGTAGATATTAGTGGAATGAACTTAAATTAAGCTTAATTATTTAATTGTAAGTGGAAAAATATCAAAATACATGAGTTAAATAAATTGGACGGTCATGGTGGAAATGTAAATTCTGTATGCTTCTCTTCAGATGGTAAGTCTTTAGTTTCTTGCAGCTATGATAATTCGATTATATTGTGGGATGTTAATACTGGAAAAAAAAAGTTCAGAATAAGGATCAAGGAAGCAGTAAAATCAGTAAGCCTCTCTACTAATAATAGTACACTAGCTTTCAGCAGCAGAGAATTTGTGTATCTATGGAATGTAAAAACTACAAAATAAAAAGCAAAATTAGGTGGTCATTCATCAGCTGTATGGTCAGTCAATTTCTCTCTTGATGGTACTACATTAGCATCTGGAAGTGGAGATAAATCTATCCGTTTATGGGATGTTTAGACAGGAAAATAAAAAGCCAAATTAGATGGTCATTCAAATTGGGTTTCATCAGTCAATTTCTCTCCTGATGGTACTACATTAGCATCTGGTAGTAATGATAACTCTATCCATTTATGGAATTTTAAGACAGGATAATAAAAATTCAAATTAAACGGCCATAGTAATTGTGTAAATTCAGTATGTTTCTCTCATGATGGTATTACATTAGCATCTGGTAGTGCGGATAATTCTATCCGTTTATGGAATGTGAGAACAGGACAACAAAAATAAATTTTGAATGGTCATAGTAAGTAAATTAATTCACTATGCTTTTCACCTGATGGTACTACATTAGTATCTGGTAGTTCAGATAATTCAATTGTTTTATGGAATGCTCAGACAGGACAATAACAATCATAATTAAAAGGTCATTGTGATTGTATCAATACAGTATGCTTCTCTCCAAACGGTACTACAATAGCATCTTGTAGTGATGATAAATCGATCCGTTTATGGGATGTTCAAACAAAAAGCGAAATAAAATCTTCTGATAAATATAAAGAAATTGAAGGATATATGAAAACTCCATTTTTTTAATACAATCATTACCTAGAAAATGGTATTTATTTTATTTATTTGTTAGTTAATACTAATGTACCTATTCTATTGATTTCTCAAACTCTAACATTTCAAGTCCGAAATGCTTTGATTCTACAAGGATAATTTTCTAATTATTTGGGTTTAGACCTTCTACCATTATTTAAATCTAAAGGGAGTTGTATTTTAGATAATTAAATAGAATTAAATAAAATTGATTATTGAGTATTATAAATTATTTTTCACAATTTTAATTCTTTGGCTTACAATTCATTTCAACATCCTCCTCCGAGCAGCTAGGCTCGACCGGGTTGTTAGGAGCTCCCATTCAAAATCTCACTCTTCTCATTGAATCACTGACTTCTCTGATGTCATCATGTCCATTCTAGGTCTACCTCAGCAAGCAGGGTAGGCCCAGGGGGAGGTTCTTCAGAACATGTCAATTATGACATCATCAGCGAAAAATTTTAATTTTAATTATTTTAGTTCTTTGGCTTTTATTTCAGACTTTTTTATTCAAAAATTTCTTTATAATTTTCAAATAGTTAGGGTCAATTTTTTTTGTACCCACTTTTATTCACTTAGTTACTTAGAATATTTCTGTATTGAATAAAATCAACTGATAATTATATATTTATTTTAAATATGGTAATTTAAGAAAAAGTAAAAAAAGTATAAAAAAATATAAAAATATTTAAAAAAGAAATATCTAATAAAAACTAAATCAAAGTAATTTGCAAAAATAATCAAAGAAAATCAATTGAGTAAAATTTAATCCTAAACCTCTTAGGATGATAAGGAAGTATAAACCATTGTTATTTATTGACCTTGATATTTTGATCACTAGCTAAATTATGAATTATATTCTTCCTCAGTTTTCAGATGAAAGAAGACTTAGAGTCTACTTTAATAATCTAATAAACAAATCATCATAAATAATTTCCTTTCGTCAAAATGCTTTAGATTTAACTAAGTAATCTGGAAAAATTCAAAGTTAATATTAATTAACAGAAGTTAAATTTAAGCATTATTCATCATACTACCTTTTAATAATAATATGTCCTAAAATAAATAGCATCATTTGGTACTATAGAAGGTATATAAAAATGATGCTCACCATTTACACTGAAATATTTGAAAAGAATTTTTTATCAAAATATTCACAATTCAATTCAACATCCTCCTCCGAGCAACTAGGCTCGACAAGATTAATGGGGGCTTCATCCCAAAATCTCACAACTGTCNCGTTTATGGGATGTTAAGACAGGATAATAAAAAGCCAAATTAGATGGTCATTCTAGTGCAGTTAATTCAATTTGTTACTCTCCTGATGGTATTACAGTAGCATCTGGTAGTTATGATAAGTCAATCCGTTTATGGGATGCTAAGACAGGATAATAAAAAGCCAAATTAGTTGGTCATTCTAGAACAGTTTATTCAGTCAATTTCTCTCCTGATAGCATTACATTAGCATCAGGTAGTGGAGATAAGTCTATCCGTTTATGGGATGTTAAGACGGGATAATATAAAGCCAAATAAGATGGTCATTCTAATACTGTTACATCAGTAAATTTTTCTCCTGATGGCGCTATATTAGCATCTGGTAGTAATGATAAGTCTATCCGTTTATGGGATGTTAAGACAGGATAATAAAAAGCCAAATTACATGGTCATTCTAATACTGTTACATCAGTCAATTTTTCTTCTGATGGCACTACATTAGCATCTGGTAGTTATGATGACTCTATCCGTTTATGGGATGTTATATCAGGATAACAAAAAGCCAAGTTAGATTGTTATTCTGGAATAGTTATTACAGTCAATTTCTCTCCTGATGGTACTACAATAGCATCTGATAGTTCAGACTATTCTATCCGTTTATGGGATGTTAAGACGGGATAATAAAAAGCCAAATTAGTTGGTCATTCTGGAATAGTTAATACAGTCAATTTCTCTCCTGATGGTACTACATTAGCATCTGGTAGCTCAGATTATTCTATCCGTTTATGGGATGTTAAGACAAAATAATAAAAAGCCATATTAGATGGTCATTCAGATCATGTTAAAACAATCAATTTCTCTCCTGACGGCACTATATTAGCATCTGGTAGTTTTGATAACTCTATCCGTTTATGGGATGTTAAGACAGGATAATAAAACGATAAATTAGAAGGTTTTCCTGGTTATTTTATGTCAGTCAATTTCTCTCCTGATGGCACTACATTAGCATCTGGTAGCGAAGATATGTCTATCTGTTTATGGGATGTTAAGACAGGATAATAAAAAGCCAAATTATATGGTCATTCTAATACTGTTACATCAGTCAATTTTTCTCCTGATGGCACTAAATTAGCATCTGGTAGTTATGATAACTCTATCCGTGTATGGGATGTTAAGAAAGGATAATTAATCTTATCTTCAGATAAATAATTTTTAGACATTCTAGCATAATTTTAACCTCCAACTTTTAAAAGCAATATTCTCCTAGAAAGTGGTATATTATTAATTATTATTTAGTTACAGTTCCTATCACTTCACTTCTGATATCACAACAGCTATTATTTTAATCTTAAGGAGCTCTAATTTTTAAAGGTGAATTTTTAAATTACCAAGGTGTAGACCTAAAATCATTATTCAAATCAAAAGGAAGTTACATTTTGGAAAACTAAATTTTATTATAAAAACAATGAAAATATATTATTATTAATAATTTTATAATACAGATCAAATATAATATTAGACTAAATGGCTATAATAAGTTTAAGTTAATGCTGTTAGTTAATCATTTATATTGAGGTAGTTAAAGAAAAACGCTGATTTTATCAAAAAACTTTAGGGCAATCAAATTATTAATTGCTTTTACATATTGTCAAGGTTATGGTTGAATTTAGATTCAATTAGTGTTACATTATGGGCTTTTTAACCGATTTCTGATCATAGAAAATTTAGATCGACAGAGTTGAGTAAAATTACAAATCACAATAATCATACATAAAGCAACTGCTTCAATAAAAAATTGAATGATGGTTTTTGCACTTTCTTTTTTAATAGCAATGGAATTTTGAATTATATGTACATTTCGTACTTGAATCAATTAGGACAATTAATATTACCAATTAAAAGGATTACAATCATACAGTTAGGAACCAAGTAGCCATTATGTAATTTTATATTGCAGACTAAAGCTTGATATAAAATATTGTAGTTTCGCAATAGCCATAGCCAACGCAATATATTAATTACAATGTAATCAAGGTATTTATTTTAGATGGGTGTAAGAGCACCAGATTAGAAATCCTTTGAATTTTTAATTTAGCAAAGCTGCTTAATATTATCAGAAGTAGAGCAACTGTATCAATACGTTCAAGCTCCAATTGCTATCAGAAGTACAACTCGCAAGCTCACTATATAGTACCAGCGTCTTAATTACATTTTAAAATATAAAATTAGAATCAACAGCTGATAGGTAACAAATTATTCCAAAGTTTAGCATGCAATAGATGATCATTATGGTGACGCTGGTATCATTTTAAAGTAACATTAAAGAATATCCCATAACTCTATTCTAGGTCTACATGAATTGCCATAACATAAACTCAGGGTAGCAAATGGGGTTTTCGATTAAACATTATATGAACAAGGTTTTGCTGCGTTTGTTACAATTCTTGATACTATGAACTCAATCTTAATATTATTGTGCAATAATGCAATTCAGTAACTACACTTAACAATAAAAATAAGTGTTGAATTGCTTAATAGTAGTTAGAAATGTTGCTATGAAATTGTCTCTGCTATTTAACAGAAAAACTAATAATTGTTCACATGAAATAATTTTTTATCTCTTTTAAAATTATAGTTGTGTTGTTATGGTAAATGGCAATAGTATGACTAAATATGCTTTTAGTAGTCATCTATTGAATTAATTCATAAGAGGAGAATTCTAAATAAGATTATTATTTTGCATTGCTTCACAAACTTATAAAACTTCTTTTAATATAAAATCTAATAATAATAGAAACTTATAATAGTGTATAATATTCATAGCCAATATATACAAAATGAGAATAGAAATGTGTATACTTTTGAGTGATCAAAAAATGCTAAAGATAAAATCATTGTCGAATTTCTATCAGCAGATCAATAATTTCATTTATTTTGATAATAAAATTGATATTGAATAATCAAATTATCAATTTAATTAGCAGATATTTGCGTAGGAAGGAATTTCACTTTCTCAATAAATTTAATTATCTGTTTTTGAGTAACAATTTGAATATTGACCTGATTTTCATACAAATACAATTTGGAGTTTATTAAAATGATTCCAATTAATTTGAATATAATTAAAAATGTCAATTTAATCAATCTAGAGTGATTGAAAAAACTTGAGCTTTGTAAGTTTGACTTCATCATAAAATTTTAAAGAGATCTATTAAGATGAATGATATTTTACATTCAGTATCGATCGAAAGACAAAAATTCATATAAAATTAGAAAAATCCTTCGGATATAAAGACTTATGTTGGATTGTTTATTAAAATACATTTAATGTCATTAAAAAATCAGATGGAGAATTTTTACTATTTATTGTCACACTATGATTTAATTAATAAATACATCAATTTAATTTTAGTTAATACTTTTCTTATTATAAATAT